TTTACTTTTTATTTAATGTCTATATTTTGTTAGTTATTTTTCATGCAGTTTTCAATTTAAATTTACTTAGAGTAAATATATAAGGACTAGAAACGAATTAATCAGGAGCAGTAAATCGATGTCAAAAAACGCTATTATATAACGCTGCCCGTGACGACGCCATCTTGTGGCGCTAGTTCCGTGACCCTCGCCTCAGATTTTTACTGTATAGAAAAAAGTAATACTTCGCTTCAAAAAGTACCCTGTTTGGGGCAACCGGCCAGGCAACGACAGTTGTTTTGAGTTGTATCCAACCCTATATGTTCCCTATATAACTTATATGTTTCCTGCAGTCCAATTTTTTGGTCTTAATTAGTTATTAACAAATTAAAGTCAAAAAATGGTCAATTTTCTCTTTTTTCGTCTGCCAGCAAAAAGAAAAGCATTTGAAACAAATTTGAGAGTAATAAACTTATCAAGTGATATCAAAAACTTTGAACTGGCGTTTTTTAAATGTTTCTATCCTTATTTGTTATTTAAATTTGCAAAATAAGTCAGAAATTTCGGATTGTTTATAAATATTAATAACTTTTTGAAAAATGACCTTAGAACCTTCATATTACGCGAAATATTGGTTCTTGTGGTGCTGAAGGTATGATTAAAATTTCAAAGCGATCGATTAAATAGTTTAAAAGATATTTATTTATCCCAAATTAAATGTTTTGCAACAATGTAATTCTACGGATAGCTTATAAAAAAAGATTTATTTTATCAATACTATTAAAAAAAATGGAGCAAAATAATTTTAAATATTGCACAATAATTTTGTATAAACATCTTGATTTTTAGCTTATAAACAATAAGAATATCTTTTTAACTGTTGCCTACACGAAAATTGTTTTTTCATATTTTTCACATTTTTTTAAAATTAAAGAAAAAGTTGTCAGAGGAAAATTTGGGACGAAGTTATTCCCTTTTTTTAAATTAACAGCGGCTTTGTTTATAACAATAAGATATCGAAGTAGTGTCATTTGAAAGAACATACTATAAAGTTTTAATATGACAAATGTAAATAAGGTTACTTTCCGAGGAGGGAGGTGTTAACTTCAAGGTTCTTGTTTATGGAGTTTTATGTTTCTTTTTTAATTCGTATGTACCTTTTGCATACATTACCAAGACGAATTATTAAAAAAAATATATATATCTAATTTGTTTAAACATTTTTTTTATGTTTTGTATGTTTTTTAGTAATATTTAAGATAATTTTTATTATAAAACATAAATATTTATAATTATTATATACTTCTTCAATAATCTTTGTAAATAATTTATTTATATCTAATATATGTTATGAAAAAAAAACAAATTATCCTATTCAATTATTTCTAAAAATAGTATTGATTTGTGTACTTATGCTTTGGAAATCTCAAATAAACTAGGATTTATTTCTTGCTAAACATGCTAGGAGAGTGGCTTTTGTCAAAAAAAGGTCGATTTTATATCCACATGCTGAAACTTGTTTTCATCAATATACACTCATATACAAAAATATCGAATATTTTGTAATTTTCTAATTTTGGTTTTCTTAAAATAAATTATGGTAAATCAAGTCGTCTATTGTAAAATACGCTTTATTTTAACAATGTCTAATGAATAATTTTAAGTTTTTATGCGGAGAAAATTGCGAAAAGAATAAATGTTTAATATTGGGTAAATAAGGTTACTTTACTCTAAACTTAAATGCTAATAAAAACTGCCTCAACAAGTTTTTTAACCAAAACAATTAAAAGATCAGTAACGAATATTCCCCCCTCTAACTCTTATTACTGCTTGCGTCCTTCTCGGCATGTTTGCAAGTAAATTTTGGACATAATCTTGGTAAATTGCATTCTATTATTCCTGTGCAGCAAGCCGAAGCTGCTCTATCATATTTGAAACGAGATTTCTTTGTCGTATGCGGCGTTTTAGGAGATCCCACATGTATTCTATTGGATTTAAATCCGGGCTAAACAGTGGCCAATCCAATCATTGAATTTGGACCTCATTAAGATAATTACGCACTATAGCAGCGGCATAAGGTCGAGTATTATCGTGCATTAACATGAATCTTTCATATCCAATGTAATCAACATATGGCAAAACATGATCCACAGGATGTTTTAAACGTAAGAGTCACCAGTCAACCGTCCAATCACTTCCACGAGTGCGGTGCGTCCCTAAAAACTAATACCTTTACAAAGAATTATCGCAGCAAACGAATCGTTCTCCAACTCTTCTATAGACGTGGTTTTGACCATCTGGCTTACATAATAGGATTCTGGTCTCATCAGTGAGAAGAACATTTTTCCATTACTGAATGTTTGGTCTTGCAAATTCTAAACGACGAGCTTTATGATTTTGGAGAAGTCGTGTACCTTTGGCGGGGCGTCTGGGCTTTAAGTATGCTTCTTTTAATCTTTGTTCAACTGTTTCTGAACTCACATTAACTTGTCTAACATTTAATAGCTCATTTCTGAGGTGCATCGACGCCAATAACGTGTAGAAGTAAGAACAAAAAACGATATCGTGTAGAAGTAAGAATCAAAAAACGATCATTAATTGCGGTTGTGCACCTTGGACGTCCTTAAACAGGCCTTCAAACAAAATTTCCTTTTTCGCGGTACCTGTTTAAAGTATTCGAAACTGTAGATTGACTTCTCCTGAGACTGTGTGCGATATCTTTTGTGCATATCCTTCCTGATACATAATTACAATCTATGCTCCTTGGGCTTTATCGCAGTGTCGAATTGATGGCATATTTGTTTTAAACTTTGTTAAATCAAAACAATATTTAATTAAACTTAATAAATTAAACGAAAAATACCCGAATTCATATGATTTTTCCTTTACGTGAAAAATGTTTTTTATGATAAAATATACGAATGACACTCAATGCTGAATAAACGTCAAAATAAACGTCCAAATATTTCAAACCAGTTGAATACATCAGCCTGCTGTATGAGTATCATCAGTAATCTAAAATTATTTTGAAATAAAAGTGACTAAAAAAAAGATTGGAAAATTCCAAAATATTCGATATTTTTGTCCATGAGTGTATTATGATGCCAGTATGCTATCTTAAAAAGTTTATTAATATAATATTGATATTCAAACAAATTATAAAAAAATGCCTTTTTCGCTTCAGATTCCCTTTTTTGTAATTTGGGTTATTTTAGGACAAAAGTTATTAATTACTATTAAACTGGGAATAAGCCACAATTAAAGATAAAAATACGTTTATTGACGTTTCAATTTCGACTTCGGAAATCGTTCTCAAAATACAAACAGTAAATTAAACAAATTTTGTTTTTTGTTACATAGTGAAAAATTCTTCTAATAATTTAATTTTATCTGACTCATTTATATTGACAATTCAGACATACATTATGCATTTTAAAGTAGACGACTTTAAAATGATATTGCCAATATTGTTGAGTTGCGCTCCTGGGACGACTTTACTTATAAGATAGTTCATTCGATTACATGAAATCAACTTTAACTTGAGAATATCCGTCAGAAAAAATCATAGCATGTAATTCGTCTTTAAAAAGACAAACACATGACAGAAAAATTCTCCTGTTAGTGATTCCATAGTAAATTATGAGGGAAAACCAGGAAAAAAACCTCATAATACTATCCCGACATTGTAAGTATTTGTTCGTGAATTTAGTTTACCTTCAACAAACATCAAAATTCTGATTTTATATGTTACGTTATTTAAAAAACATAAATGATGTATCCTCTATATGTTACTGACTTACTAATACCAGTATTAGTAAGTCAGTAACATATAGAGGATACATCATTTATGTTTTTTAAATAACGTAACATATAAAATCAGAATTTTGATGTTTGTTGAAGGTAAACTAAATTCACGAACAAATACTTACAATGTCGGGATAGTATTATGAGGTTTTTTTTCCTGGTCTTCCCTCATAATTTACTATGCAATCACTAACAGGAGAATTTTACTGTCATCATGTCATGTGTTTGTCTTTTTAAAGACGAATTACATGCTATGATTTTTTCTGACGGATATTCTCAAGTTAAAGTTGATTTCATGTAATCGAATGAACTATCTTATAAGTAAACTCGTCCCAGGAGCGCAACTCAACAATATTGGCAATATCATTTTAAAGTCGTCTACTTTAAAATGCTTAATGTATGTCTGAATTGTCAATATAAATGAGTCAGATAAAATTAAATTATTAGAAGAATTTTTCACTATGTAACAAAAAACAAAATTTGTTTAATTTACTGTTTGTATTTTGAGAACGATTTCCGAAGTGGAAATTGAAACGTCAATAAACGTATTTTTATCTTTAATTGTGGCTTATTCCCAGTTTAATAGTAATTAATTTACAATGCCACAAGAAAATAGCTTCAGAACAATAACAAAAGTTATTCTTGTGATTTTATATAAAACACTTACTTTAAGCATAAAAATGCAACTAAAAAACTAAAATAGCAAGTTGGATTTTTTAAGAGTTGTGTGTGTATGCAAATTAAAAGTAAAGTATCTGTGATAATGAATAAATCTTCTTTACAGTGGACTGGTCGTTGGAATGGACTGATTAAGACAGTGTCTATTTACACTTAAGGGTGGATGATTACACAAACAATAAAGTATTTCTTGCACAGTGGTTATATGATTACTAAGCTATGTGTGTGCACAACAAGTTTATGTATATGAGAGGCAGTGTGTACAGGACTGTAGTAAAAACATACACATACGTTAATTACAGAATTGAATAAAAATATATGTGGAGGGACAGAACAACTTTTAATCCAATCTCAATTAAAATTGTCTTACAAAATGTTGCCTGTTTGCAATTTTTCATAAATATGTCATTAAAAGACAATAAAAGCTGTAAACCTTTTTTTCAGTTCACCAAAAATTTATTGCATTAAATTTTGTGGTTCAGAAAATAGTTGAGAGTTAAATAGATGTGCACTGTGAAGTGTATTTACATTGTACTCACCAGTCATAGAAAGATATTCCTCCACAGATATAACAAAATATGTAGCCATTAGACCAAAAGTAAAACTTACAATATACAATGTCAGTCTAAAAAATCGATGTCCAAAGAAACATAGGAAGATTCCAAAAATTAGTTGAAACGCACATAACACTTTCCAATGTACAGCCACTACAATGAATAAAAAATATTATTTGTAATAAAAATTTGCACTAAAAACAAAATATATACCTACCAGGCCCAACACAATCTTCCTCCCACCTTGCCACATCACAGCCATATGAAACAGCAGGAATATATGCTGACTTGTGGTCTTTAAAGGTAGAAACCATAGCAAATACTTCTCCAGTTCCAATGTAAGAACTAAATAATCTCATATATTTCCTTCTTCCAGGAATTCCAGATACCCTTCTTCCATATTTCTCAATATTATCAACAGTCAACATCTTCTCAATACTTTTGAAATAAGTCTCTGGAGATTTATCATATTCATACATAAAAAAGTGATACATATCTACTTGTAGGGTTAGGTTATCACAGCTTTGTCCTTTGGTTGATGGTGGTTGTGACTTAACAGTTATCAGTTCATCTGTATGTGATGTAATTTGATATGGAGCCACTTCAACATCAAAAGAAAGGTTACATCCTCCAGGTACTGGAGCTAAAATGCAAAAACTACATGAATATTTACCACAGTAAACTTGACACAGCAGACTTACCTTGTTCATCATAGACAGCAACTACTATTAATACATGTACAAAAGGACTTAACTTATGTGGTCTTTTTAAGTAGAAAGTATCAATACTACCATTGGATACTAAGCCTATGTTTGCTCCAGTAACTGATGAACCATGTGTAAAGTTTGGACTGTCAGATAAAGTTACATTCTCAAGATATGTATGCACTTGAATTATGAAAAATCCAACATCACTTTGAATGTTAGAAATATTTATAACGGTTAAGTTACCTTTCAAATCATAATATTCTTTAAACGCATCATATCTGTGTGTGTTGGGATGGTAAACAGCTAAATTTATTGGTATGGTCTCACACCTAACTGTAATAATTATGAGGTTATGAATAAATAAATATTAGTTATTTTCTTTGTTCTGTTTTACCATTGATGTATCATTGTTATCAGCTTCAATTTCAATGTTAACTCAATGTTAGTATGCTATAAATCACACTAAAAAAATACTTGACAACAAACTTACCTAAACTTATAATAGTAGCACAAAAAAATAAAATGATAAACTTATCCATGTCTAGTAAAATACATTGGGATTGATCCTATACAATTTAAAAATCCAACACTTTGAAATCACATTTTAACTGATAATGTGATAATACAATTATTTTATGCTTAGAGAAGTACAGAATCAAAATTTAGCATCCAAAATAAAACAAAAACATGTATCTGCGATGTTGCCATTGCCACATACTAATTTTAATTCTGTTCTAAAGGAGACGTTTAAATATGGAATGTATCTATGCTTGGTAGATATTTTTAGAAAGAAAAAATTAATATAAACTATGTTACCGTTTCTTTGGTTTACTAATGACATGTAAATAAACAAATTTACTTTAATTGTATTAAATTTCTTGAATTATTTTATTATATTTAGAAGCTAATATTATTGTATAGTTTCAAGTTGAAATATTCCACTTCCCAAGTATAATGTCCCGAAATCTCAATTATTTAGCTGTGTTTTGTTTTTTAAGTAATTTTATAGAATGCAGTACCCTAAAAGAGCGTTTTTATTATGGTCAATACATTTTTTAAGTACAGTTCATGTGTTTAACGGTTTTTAATCAGGGGTACGCATTTAGTGTTGCCGATGGTTTTTTAAGGTGGACTATGACCAAAGCCAACGAAGAAAAGCTCAGACGCTTTGAACGAAAAATACTTGGAAAAATTTTCGGACCTCACCATGACATCACCACAAACCAATACAAGATCAGAAGCAATATCGAATTAAAAGCACTCTACAACGACGCCGATTTGTCCAAGAAATTAAAAAACAACGATTAAGATGGACAGGCCACGTGCACATACTGCATAACCAAATACTGAAACTGGTATGGGAGGAGATTCCCACAGGCAAAAGACCACTCGGACGTCCCAGAATGGAAAGATAACATCCAAGCAGATCTCCGGAAAATGAATATTCCATTTGACCCTAGGTTATTGGAAGACCGAACAAATTGGAAAAAAGTTGTACAGTCAGCACAACAAAAAAAAAACACCTAGAACAAATTTAAAGGTTTGTAAAGGAAGGTAAATAACGTGACCCTTTTATTTTTATTTTTATTAAAAGTAAAGAATTAATAGTTGCAGCTTATAAATAATTCTATGTTAAAAATATTTTGCTTCCATTCATCAAAGAATTCCAATTTCAAACATATCTCCTTCTATTAATTAAATCTAGTTTAAAAGTTTAATTACAATATTCCTCAGAGTTTGGTGAGACCCGACAACAGCGCTTTCATTACGATGAAGATAAACGTGTCTGTCACCTACTTCCTCTAGTATCCGCTAGGGGCGTAATAGTGTAAACATGGCCGTGGTCGATCAATGAAATCCGTAGTACGTGAAAGTGTAAAGTATTATAGAACTATGAACCTTAAATAAATTAAATTACGGTGTTAACAAAGGACCATGGGTAAAGATCAAGAACTTTTGGAGGCTGCTAGAAAAGGCAATGTGGCTGTGGTTGAAAAAATACTCGGCCAAAGAGCCAAAAGGAGTGGTCCACTAGCAAGGTGGGTTTATGATCAGCTGTCATGTTATCTTGTTTTTAAACAATTTCAGTCAATAATTATGCTTAATTATTACTCAATACTTAATCATTAACCTTGATTACATGTTTTAAAATGCATTTCAACTGATGTTTCTTTTATATAAGTCTATTTTTTTTAATAAACAATAAGTTGTACATCTACATGGTTCATGAATTGCTCAAGCATTTCCACATTAAAGGTGTACATAATATACACTTTAATGGGTATTTATTTCAAGAGAAAGTTTACTTTATGTACGTTTTGCAACAACAATTATCATACACATATGATTAATATAGTAGGTATAGATCTTCTTGACAATCCTCATAGGAAATACATAACCAATTTTAAGTGCATCTATACTTTATTGGATCAATAGTCTATTTTCTACTTAAGTGTCTTTTTATGTTTCGTTTTATGTTATATGTCTATTAAATTGAATAATTAATCACTTGGGGGAAATACATAGTTTTTAGATAACACAACAGTAAATACTTATGTTATAAGTTGTATTGTATAAAAAATTCTTGTAAAAGAAGATACTTAAATATTACTTATTGTTCTTCTATAAATATATATTATCATTGCCAGTGAGGTGGATAAAATGTTTTCATTATTTATATAATGTGTGTAATAACAGTGATTAAATATTTACTAACAAATACTAGCATTAAGTACATGAGCCATTAATTTATTTTATTATTTATACAATAGGTATTTATCTGTTATTATTTCTTGATTAATGCTTCCAAGATTACTATAAGATTTAATATACCCTGTTTGTCTTACTATTTCCTGATCAATTCTTAATATCCTAGTAGATTTTTTGTCTATTCCCGTCAAGAAGTTGGGAACAGAACATTTTGTTAGATACACTTTATATAAAAACTAGTTTTATAAGAAATGTAAGTATTTATATGCTGTTTACTTTTTTTTGTTGTCATAGTCTTGTTTAGTAAGTTTCCATATATTCAATTTAATTAAATAAATACATAATGTGTTCCTCTAATATTCCATTGATGAACAATAGAAGAAAATACACCAATGAATATACAGGGTCACTTGTTTTTCACTTAGAAGTCTACTCTGACATTTTAACAAACAAAAAATATTGGACTACTGATAAGTTATATCATGCTTAAGTTAAACACAGGAAGCCCATTTCAACTTTCACACAATCATGACAAATTTCATATCCTTGTACAAAACTTATATATTGGTGCATGCATCTGTACTGATCAGATATTGCATGTATTTATTGAGAGCTTGCTGCCTTCAGAGATGGGTAAACCCCAAAATTGGATAAAACTAGATTTACCATCAATACTTTGCCTGTTACAAAAATTAGATGAATAAAAGGAAAATAAGATTGATAACTTCTTGATTTATTCAGATCATTATAGATGTATCCAATTTCAAATGGATAAAGCAGTACATTTTAAACTTGAGTATAAATAACATTCATCATCATCATCATGGCTTATTCACTCCTGGCGGAGTGTTTGCCGCCCTTTTGGGCTCTCTGATTCATTTATTGCGGAGATTCAGTCTGCTGTGGTTTTTTTTATTAATATAGCAGCGTGTGTGACTTGGCCCTGTCTACAATTTTCCTCCATTCTTTCCAGTCCTTACAGCGCTCCTTTCAATTGTAGATTCTCAGCTTCTTTATGTGTCCTAAGACTTGATCTCTCCATCTTGTTTTGGGTCTCTTCTTTGGTCTCTTTGTTGTTGGTCTCCATCCAGTCTCCATAAATAACATTACTTACATTTAAATTTTATTTGCTTTAGAAAGTTTTCATACCATCTCCTTCCGAGCCTATTGTTTGTGAATGGATTTTTACGTTTTAACAGTATGATTAGATGTTGAACACTGTCCAGTAAAGTATCTTTTCCAACAGGAAATCCAGCTTTAGCTATCGAAAATATCCATTGGACTACAATTTTTTCTCCATCATGTGTTAAAATTGGAGCAGGTCCCATTCTTCGGGATTGTGGTGTAATTCCTTTAACCTTATATGTCAGAGTGACACGAGGAACTTCTTAGCTGCCCTTGCAACGACCCCACCAGCCAATACAGCTGCTATAGCAGCCTCCATTTGTTCTTCAGAGTAAGACAACATCTGACCCTTGATTGGCCGCATGACAAAACCTAGAAAGGAACCAATAATTGACACTCATTTGATGCAGTAGTTGACACGTGTCAACTACTAGTGGGAGTCATTATAAAGATTTCAAAAGTATTTTCCATAAACAGAATTGTGTATTGAATATAAGTAATACAAAATATGCATGACATGAAGTAAACCCCCCTTGTCCCAGTAGTTGACACACATGTCAACCACCGGTACATTTTCAAAACAGCTGTACTAATAATTGACACTAAAAAATAAATTTACACTAAATTGACACTAAAAAATAAATTGACACTAAAAAATAAAGTTGTTTACACACTAGTAATTAAGCTACAGTATTAAATGCGCTATGATTTAGATATTTTTAGCCTGCACACATCTATTAGTTCAGTAAAAAGTACTACGTAAATAAAGAAAACAAAATATATTTTTAAAACTTACTTTCTTATCACTTTTAACAAGAAATTCAGTAAAAACACAGATCAGCATGTACACATCTGAAAATGATGGCTGCTATATTGTGAAATTTTAAACCTGAAACTAATAACTTTGCCACCAAATCATAGAGGGCATAATATATCACTCATTTAATTTGCAAAGGTTTGCACAAAAAGATTTTCTTATTTTTAGGATGTAAATGCATATGTGTCAACTACTGGTACTTTGTCAATTACTGGTACATTTACCTTACTTACATTTAAATTTTATTTGCTTTCTTGTCTTTTTTAAGAATCTTCTACAGAATTATTGTAGAAAAGATATAACTAAGCATTGAGAACTTGATATAACTAAAACAGATAAAAATCATATTAATTTTTGTTCCAAATTAGAAATGGTTATGTAATTTGAACAGAATAATATAGTATTAACCACATAAATATAGAATATAAACTGTTTCTTGGTAATTCAAGGATTATCCAATATTCACGCATAAGTTTATACCTATTATACTTATGTAATTTTTGTAGAGGGAGTTAGTTTGCTGTTGACATTTTGAACATTCAAAGATCACAGTTTTCCTTATTCAATCACATTAAATACTGCTGACTGAAGTAACTATTATTTAGTAAATGTCTTCATACACTCTTTTTTGGTCTCTTGTGGTTATTATTGAAATAGTATAACTCAGTATTCTTGTAGGTACCTGTAGTGTTACACAATCTACTTACAGATAATAATTTTTGACTTACTGATATGGTGTTGACAGGATGTAAGATAATTAAGTTTCCCCATCTATTTTTTGTCTGCTGTCTTATATTTTCTTATTTACTTTAAATTTCCTATAACACAGTGTTTTCCTATGTGTCAGCATCTCAGTGTTGCCCTGATATATGATAATTAAGCTTCCTCACCTATATTTTTCTTAATGTTATATCTCATGTTTAGTAGTATTACACAACCTACTTACAGATCATAATTTTTCATTTATTGATATACTGTTGACAAGATGTAGTAATGTCAAAATTTCCTGTAACATAATTTCTTCAAACTATTTAGTAACTTCAGTATTAATTTTAA